GGACTGTCGCTTTCTGCCTCGGGTGTCTGCAGAGCCACCTGAGAGTGGGATGAAAAGCCTGCAGCTTCCCCCCACCTCCGGACTCCCCAGGGGTTCTCAGGCAGCAGAACCACCAGGCTGGCTTGTCAAAAACAAACCACCTGCTTCAGTAGGTCTGGGAGACTCTAAGATTGTACATTTCTGACAAATGTCCAAGCTTTTCTGCTGCCACAGATCCAAGAACTGCACTTTGAAAACCCCCAGCCTCAAGGAACTTGAAGCAGGACGGGCAGAGAGGTCAAAGCTGTGCGCCTTTGAAAGAAGGCGTCAGACTCTCGCCTGGCAGGGACACAGGATGAGGCAAAAAAACAATTCAGACTGGATGGCGGCACTGTCTCTAGACAGTTGGAGGACAAACGTCAGGGGCATATGCGCTTTAATGCTCACTGTCCGTGTGACCTTGGCAGAGTAACTTCTCTTAGACTAACTCATTTTATTCACTTACGAATGGGGCTGTAAGAGCGCCTGCTCCCTACATTGTTCCTAAGCATGGAGAGCCTGCTGCGTAATGCCTGGCCCATGATGAGCAATGTATCCCAAGTAACAAGTGCTGGTATTACTACCCTGGGCCAAGACGCGGGAGCATACCAGAGGGATACAGCTGGGACAGGACAGGAGAAACCTCCCCATGGGAGGTTTTGGAATCTGAGCTGAGGAACACCCAGCCAGGGACAGGGGCTCAGGAAGTGGGTCGGTGTGATACAAGAGGGTATTCCAGGTGGGGTTTCATGGGGCAGAGGCTGATGGGTTGGTCACCAAGCCATATAAGCTTGACCCAGGCAGGGCCTCTTTCTAAGTTGCGATCATAGTTCTGTTCTCTTAAAAAAGCAAAAGCAAAACAAAATAAATCTCTTCACTTGAGATGGTCATGGTGTGCACACCTGTCATTTCAGCTACGAGGGAGGCTGAAGCAAGATTAAAATTTGAGTACAGCTGGGACAACCTAGTAACTGTCAGAAAGAAAGAAAAGAA